ATCCTATTTCCAACCACAAAAGCACATCATTTTCGCTAAAGCAGGGCTTATTTGGTTAGCTGAGCTCCACCCAGGTCTCCAAAAAGCCTTAAACCTCTTCGGTTAAACAAAGAATCCAGTGCTATTAAAAATTAACTGTGACCCACTTGTAGAGCCATAAGTATGGATTCATGTGCTCAGTTGAGTAAGATTATACTGCAGACAGATCGACAGGGCATATCGACCTGATATAAGAAGGCTTACTGGCAAAGATTTCCTCTCGTAGTACCGATTGGCTTTTCCTACAATTATTAGGTGGACATATTTATGGCACCATCGGGTGGAGAGGGCAGCTTTGACAAATAAGTTGGCAAATTGACACCTGTCCTCTACAAGTACCACGTTTGTTTGAAAGACTTAGACAAAAGATATATTTTCAATTAAAAACAAAGGACTTTTATTGTAATAGTTTTGACACGCCTTTTCCCCCAAAGAAATATCCTTTAGTCCTGAGGGCTATATTGTCCTCTCTGCATGGGTGCATATTCACACATCAACTGGCATAAATTATTATCTTGAACAAAAACGATTTGAATTCACCTTTCAGGACATCTTGTGAGTTTTCCTGTGACTCTAGAATTGATGTCATCTCTATATGTGAGTGTATGGCTTTTTCAAGCTTCTGTTCCGGTTATGATAATAAAAATTTTGTTTACCTATGTTGCTTATAAACAATCAATTTTTCTCAATGCGATTTAACGTAGTTCAACGTAAGTCCTACCGTACCGTACCGTTACCGTACCGTCCACCGTACCGTTACTCCGTACCAGTACCGTAACTGTACCGTACCGTACCGTACCTACACTCGATCTTCCACGTAGCCGTACCTACCGAGTGAGCGTACCAGTAACAACATTACCGTAGCCGTACCGGTACACCATTACTGAGCTACGCGACCAACCCCCTACACCGTAGTCGCCTACCCGTACTTACCTTCACCTGATACTAAGTACCGTATCGGTACCGACCGTACCGTACCGTACCGTACGTACCGTCTACCGCACCGTACCGTAATACCGTACCGTACCGCTACCGACCGATACCGTTACGCGTTACCGTGTAAACCGCTACCATACCTACGTACTTGTTACCGTAACCGTAACCCGTACCGTACCGTGTACACGTACCCTAACCCGTATTCCGTACCCGTAACCTTTGACCGTACACTAAACTACCCGTACCGCACCGTCCTACCGTACCACCGTATGCCGCTACCCGTGACCGCTACCGACTTACCGACCGTGACATTAAAATAGATAAACAGAAAACTTAATTACTACAACAACAATACACATTAAATATACTACAATCAATATACGCTAAAGAAACATAAATGCAAGAAATATAAGATATGAATCCAAATTAAAGATCTATCACATTGAATAAATCACCAATTGTCTTTATGTAGCAAACACAGTAAACAAATACAAGAACAACAGAACGATACAATATGGACTAATTTTTTTCAAACTTGCCTTTCTTGCTTCTATTGGGTTGACATCTAAAACTTTTATAACTTCAGCTGAAACTGCATTTAAGTCGCTCGTGGAGCTTTTTCTGCTCTATCCAAAGCGGTTCTTGAACATAGAAAATGTTCAAAAAGTGAGTCCGCTTAAAATACAATTCATTAAGAATTGATGCGGCAAATGTTACGTCTCTGGAGAGACATGGCTTCGATACACCATTCTTGGGGGTGTGTTTCAAATGAAGTGACTGTATCTGAAATAGGATGGCTGTACCGGAAGGGGTTTCATTGTATCTTAGGGGGGAGTGGTTATGTCAACGATGAACTGGGTTTATCTGAAGGGGTAGTGGCAGTATCTAAGTGTAGTGACAGTATCTGAAGGGGATTCATTGTATCTTAGGGGGGAGTGGCTGTATCTAACGGTGAAGTGGTTTATCTGAAGGGTAATGGCAGTATCTGAAAAGTTGTTGCTGGTATATAAAGGGGAAGTCGTTACATTTGTAGAAAAGTAGCTGCGTTTGAGGGTGAGTGGTTCTATCTGAAGTGGCGTGTTATGTAGCAACATCCCAGTTTTTGGAAATTTTGTTGGAAATAACAGTTGGTTTGTATTTAACTTTTGGTTGATTCGTCAGTACATAGAATATATTACTTTCTCCCTTTTCACTTCTCCTCCACCCTTCATGACCCTCTTCCATCCCTCCATGACCCTCTTTCCACCCCTTTCTCTCCCACACTATCCCTTTTGAAGAAATATAGTTTTCCACTTTTAGTCTTCATTCAGCCAGCACATATTCTAAATAAATGCTCTTCGGGGTATTTACCTTACATTTTACCAACTTCTATCAATGTCGAAATCTGGATACTCTATGTCATATGCATCTTCGTCTTTGCTATTTTGAATGAAAAACTAAAAAAGAATACGAAAATAAAGTATAGTATAGTTCATGTGTTTGTTAACAGCTTTGTTTGGGAAAATTATGTCTCTAGAAAGTTCCAAACTTATTTTACCTAATTTCTTTGCCTACATCTCGAGGGTACATTAAACGAGAAGTTGCAACTAAGAATCGTCCCGTTCTACACACCAAGCATGTAAAGTCATGTCTTTGAGGCATCGAACACCAGTAGCGTAGCTTGCCTTCAGACCAGGAGGAGCGGAAGGCATTTAGGGGGGGGGGGTTGGTGGATTGAGAAATCCTCTATAGAAAATTGAGGAATCCTCCATAGTAAAATCTGTCGAGTTAATCATAGATGAAGAACAACTTAAGTGTTACTTAGCCTACCTAGAACCAAATCATTAAGAATGAAGCGGGAGGGTGTCGCCCCTTCACCCTCTGCTAGCTACGCAGTTGGCAAGGACTATAAAACAGGTAATCATCATTAATCTTCATTAGTCAATATGCTTTTACACAAATAGTCTAGTAATAAACAAACAATGTCTTGCGATCACAATAAGCGTGAAACTCAGAGTTGCAACTTAGAAGCGTCCTGTTCCGCTTATACGACATCGAGCCATAGACCACAGACCACCAAAAGGTAATCTTCATTTAGCCAATATTCATTAAACGTTAAGTAGTATATATATAAGCGTGAATATTTCCTGATGATCGTCTTTAGCGTGGAACTTGGAATAGCAACATAGAATCTCCCGGGAGTGTTATTTATCCAGCATGCTTAAAGGCCGACCTCCACTTGGCCGCGCGTACGGTGCGGCCAAGTCAGCGCATGCCCAGTGACTCGGTATGATGCAATATTCTTGCCCGTCACGTTCAAACTTTGTACGCTTTGAAAGTAGAACCTGGTTCTACTCTCAGAGCGGCCGCTCTACGTACGTCGGAGATTATCCAATCAAATTGCAAGACTTGGTGACTTGGCCGCACCGTACGCGCGGCCAAGTGGAGGTCGGCCTTAATACACGGATACAATGCCTGCCAAACGTTTCGGTACAGTGAACAAAAATTTCGCATAAGTTCGGTTGCACCCCCAACCCCCCCCTCTCTCCCCTTTAAAATAATGTTGAATAACAACAGATAATAAGTTGGAAACTCAACCACTGTAACCCTATCAGCTAGGTAGAGTTATGGGCTTTTCATAAGAGATTATAACGAACATACATATAAAACTAAATATAATGAAATATGATGCTGTCTACCAACAAACTAATGAAACATCATTGAGCAAAATTATGGAAAAACGTCAATTTAGATGGTTAGGACAGGCAGTGGTGGCGCCAGGGGAGGGCTAGGGGGGGCTATAGCCCCTCCGTCGGAAGCATCTAGCCTCCCATCGGAGGAAATTTTAGGTTTTTATCGGAGCAAATTAGACAAAATAACGTACGAAAACTGCTTATTTCAGTCATTTTAGCCCCCCTGTCGGAAGCTTTGGCCCCTCTGTCGGAAGATTTCTGGCGCCACCCCTGAGGACATGCACTTTGCTTACCAGAACAAACCCCTGCACAGCTAGCTTTAGGATACGCGGATGAAAAATAAACAGGACCAAGAGGCCGCCCAAAACTAACTTGTCTCGGAATAATAACATCAAACCTACGAGACATTTATAAGTCGAATGGAAAGAAGCTTGTTAACTAGCAAAATATAGACTTGCCTGGCAAATACATTTCAACTAAAAACTTGTGTTACACTAAGTAGATTTAATTACGAACAAAGTGTTTTAAAATATTATCATTCGTAACTAACTTAATATATTACATCAGAACCTTAATTGAAATAATAATGATAATATTTTCAATCAACATTACTGTATCTTATGACCGGAATCTAATGTACCAAAAAATTTCAACGACCGCAGGACGTTTCGAGAACTTTTGGCAGGGATTAAGGCAAAGAACAGTCATGTGAAGCACGTTTCGAGAACTTTTGGCAGGGATTGTGGCAAAGAACAGTCATGTGAAGCAAAGAGCCATCTAATCAACAAATCTTTATACTGGTCCTATGATATATCCAGAGCTCTGTAACATAACAAACTGGTCCACAGTAATATAACAGGCCACCCTTCAGCAAGAACCATACCTGAGGGGGGCAGGCTTTAAAACAAGAAAACAGATATATTTGAACAAAATCAAGATCATGGAATTATAAATATGCCAAATTTTCAAAATATCATTTGGAAAAACTGTAGCCATAGTGGACAAGCTGTTGTCAAAATTTTCATTTGGGGGGGGGGGCAGCCCCCCGTGTCCCCCCCTGCAGCTACGTGGCTGCTGAAACACCTAGATCAACATAAAACCACCTGTTCTTCAAAACAAACCGTAAGATTCAACTTCAAAACATCTGTATTATACCAACCTCATTCAACTGCGACAGGATCTGAAAAAAAGATAAAACAATTAAAGATCGATATTGTTCTATATCAATATCTTTAAAATACAACCGGCTTTAAATGATACAGCTGGTGGTGGCGCCAGATACTGTCGATAACGATAACAGGACTTTTTAATTAAAAGAATCACGTCAAACCAGGTAGGCCTAAAATTTCTTAAAATCTTGTTGATTGGAGCCTCAAATGCTTCTTAAATGTTTCTTAAAAACGGACTCTTGTTTTAGCGTATTACATGGAAAAAGTCTGTAGCCGAAACTTTCAGATTGAATTTCTACGTCTCTTAAGGCTCTCAGTTAACAAATAAGACACTTGAGTGTCACATTGTGTGTCACGTTGCGTGTCACATTCCGTGTCACATCGTAACAGAAGCTGCTTGTTCTAATTGAGATTCATTCTGATTTATACTTTAGATTCTATGCAATGACATTTGACTTATTTTTCTTCCTTATCCCTCTACCTAAGCTATCTGTTTCTTAGATGTCTCTCAGTTTTGTTGGTATTTGAGTCTCGTATTTCTGACTTCTATTTTTCTTTAAATAAAAGATGGATCAATAAAATGTAAAATAAAAGAGATAAGAGCGATCTCATACTTTCACTCTGTTTCCACACAGATTTTCATATCCCACAATAAAGATTGTCACTTGTTGCTGATACTAAAAGAAAATTTAAGTATATTAAAATATATAAAAAACATATTTCATATTTGGCTTGACTATTTTGAGATACATAGGACTATTTTGCTACATTTTAGATTCATAAACATCTTCTATCAGAAGGTTGGCTACCATGACCCTCCAACTAACCCAAAATCTGAATTTTGGTTCGTTGTCATGGTCATAGATAAAACTAAGGGGCTAATATTAAGATGGGCCCCCAGAACCACCTCTACAGTGTTTTTAAAGGGGCACCATCCCTCTTTCCAGGAGTTCTTCCGCCCGAAGCCGTTGACCCCTGGGGTCGTAGCTCATCCCCCCTCCTTACATTTTAGACCGGATGACAAAAATTTGGAAAGTCTAAACATGACGTCATCACTGATTTTCTATTTCATGGCCCTTAATATTTCCATATCGATTTGGAGAATAATATTTTCAGTCTCTCAACTCCAGAGTTGTTCTAGATATTAATTAAAATAATATCCTTATTGTTTTATCCTTTCCTATTTATAGTGTAATTCTTGTTTTTTCAAGTATTTTACTGAAGATGACTCTAGCTAGAGTTAAAACATTTAAAAAACGGATTATGTCTTTCTGATTATTTCGTATTTATATTTCGAGCTTTGTTTCACCGATTTTATCGAAAATTGATATCCAGAAAATGTATCTTTTAATCGCCGTGTTTGTTGTGTGCTTAATAAAAATAATTCTATTTCATATTTATCTATTTAGAGATTTTTATAATTTTTCAGCTGTCAGCCCGGTACTCATTCTGCAATAAATATTTGCAGAGCGGAGAAATTTTAAGAAAAATATTAATTTTACAGTTAAAAAGAAACGCACTTATGCTTAAGAAACCAATAAACGTTGTATAAAATTAGGCAACAGTGGAGTTGCATTTGCAGGCAATCTACAAAATGTGCTGAAATTACCTTTTTCTTGGCGATGGGATCTGACAAAATAATAATGAGCTGTGTCTGCAAAAAAAGAAAGATAGTTCGGATGTCATATTTGCATCTCGTGTTTATCAATATATTATTACTTTAGTTAGTCCGTTAATTAAGCAAAAAAATTGTCCTGTTTTCTTGTTTTTCTCTAAACATCTTAATAACATCATTCAATCATCTTTATTTTGCTTTAACTCTATCAGCCATAACTTTTTTTCCTTTGATTCTTATTATCAACCATATTACTTCAATTTACCATTCTTTTTTCAAGCCCAATCTATCTTTCCCTGATTCTACTTCCGTCCGTTTTGCTTTATCTTATTTCCTGTAAACGTTTATTCCCCACCATCCTATAGTCCCCACTGCTTACCCCTCCTCCCTCCCCCTTTTTAACTTCCCTTCTCCCAATCAAGCCCAGACTCCTTCGTTATCCTAAAATTTCTACTGTACTTCCTTCCTTTTCACTTCCCATCCCGTCATCCATCTCTTTCTCCATTGTCATCCTTTGCTAGTCTCTCTTTCATTTAGAACGTCTTACCAGGACATATCATTTCACCCCCGTTATCCACTCCCTCTCTCCTCACATGACAAACCTAATAACAATGATAAAAAGGTTCTTTAGATAAAGTGCCATATATTTCTCTGAGGGACTTTCCGTAAATTACAAAACCACTTCCCTAAACTGGCACAAAATGTACCTTTTAACTCTAACAAACTGACACATTATTCTATTTGAACCAAGAGAGTGGGCAAATAAGAACTTTATTAATGCATAGTTTCACGATTCTTGGCACATGTGTATAAGCTGATAACATCCCCACTTTTCGTGACGGTTTAATGATCAATATTTTAACGAGCTTTCTTGGAATAAACAAAATCTTTTGGACAAAAATTCTGTTGCTAAGGACGATAAACAAAATGTTCTTTTTTGGATTCGATTCAGATCATATTTCTAATAGTTTTAACCTCTCGTGTCCCATTCATCGCTAATGGAAAATTCCTATCAATTCCTATCAAAGCTAGTTGGACACATTAGGATCTAAGGTTGAATCACACAGCCTTAATACCGGGTAACTATTTTTGTTTCACAGTCCGGACATCTACTCCCTCTCTCAGAGTCCGGGTAGTTGTTTTTTATAAAGTCCTGTTAATTACTCTCTCTCTCTCTCTTAGGGTTTCTATTTTCACAGTCCGGACATCCACTCCCTCTCTCAGAGTCCGGGTAGTTGTTTTATTTTTAAAGTCCTGTCAATTACTCTCTCTCTCTCTTAGGGTTTCTATTTTCACAGTCCGGACATCCACTCCCTCTCTCAGAGTCCGGGTAGTTGTTTTATTTTCAAAGTCCTGTCAATTACTCTCTCTCTTAGGGTTTCTATTTTCAAAGTCCGGATATCCATTCCCTCTTTCAAAGTCCGGTTAGCTATTCTCATTCTTGATCTTGCATGTTATTTTGACAAAGTATTTTTTGTGACGTAGTTCAATGATTTTGCAATGACTTTACAAAACGTTAAACGTGGGCGTTCGCAAAAGGTAAAATTGGTGCTCCTTGTTGGCAAACTGGGGTTTTCTAACAGTATAAAGAAGGTGGCCTAGATTTCGTAATTTTGTACCCCCTCCCCCTTTAAAGCCATTGACGACGCCGTCACTGTCATACTTAGATAAAATTATTGCTATACCAAGCTAACTTTATAGATTTTCAGCATGAAAGGATAATTCTATGGTTACCAGGTCATCGACAAGCTCCAGCGTCGCATTTCTGTCTTTAACATATGTGTCCTTTATCTTATTGATGTCAGCTCCTGTTATTGGCTGCTCTATCGAGTCGGCTAATATATATGAACTCAAAGTCTGAAATAAAAAAGGACAGTCTGTATCAGTTATTTTCTTATGCTGTAAAGGCTAAACAGAATAATAATTTTGTGAAATATATTTTGAACCTTATCCAAAATGGCAAATTCAGATACAGAAATCTTCTATGTAGGGAAATTCGAATCCCGCCCCTCCATTGGCACGTGCCTGCAACTTAAGAGAAGTGTCTTTTCTCTCAGGGTTTTTATCAATGTTTGAAAAGCACCCCTTTTCTTAAAGATGTGTGCCTCTTCTGACCTGTGCTACTGACTCATATGCTTTTAATGTTCTGGTTGTTTGTGATGTCCTTAGAGGTAGACAAATTTTGTGAACTATTCTTTACAACTTCAATGCTGATGACTCGGCACTGAAGTACAAGATACATTTAAATAGGTTTAAATCTTTCCATTTGGTAATTTCTAAGCAATTTAGAATCGAACCTTGCATCTGTACACAAATTCTGCAACAATTTTCAGAAATCTTCTTAACTTGGTTTCTAAATTCTATACTTACTTAACTATACTTTTATCTAATAAAAACCTAATTCATAGAATCAGATCAACAAGTTAGTTTCAGAAAAATGGTAGCATCTAAAGGCCACTGTTTCATGAAAAAGTCACTGTTGCAGGACAAATTTGAAATCTTTAAGCCAGGGTGTTCAAAACTCCTCCTAGTCAGTTTACCATATACTTTCTGTAAGAGCACAACAATCTTCCAATTTGTTCCATTATCTCTCACAATGTCTTAGAACTTACTTTGTCAACGCGATCAGTTATTTTACCAAGCTCTTCCTGAGTTTCGGCTGCTTTTCTCAGAGCCATTGCTTGAGCATTTGAATGCAAAACAGCCTGGGCAGGGGCGTCACCCCTCTCTAGGAATCCTCCTTCAGATACCATACTGCCTGCAGTTGATATAATTCGATCTTGTAATTCTTCTGATGCCATAACTCTCCTTGATTTCCACGTCTCTTTGTTTTCCTTATTTTAAACAGTATTTTCAACATCAACACATATATCTGCAAAAAGAGTGAGATAGTGTCAGAAAACATATATTTTTAGGGTTTTTGTACATTAAAAATTAAAGCAGATTGGAAAACTTGCAGTCATATACAGTGATAAACAAGATTAAGGTCTGAAAATTTGAACTTTTATTTCCATATTGAGAAATATAGCCAAAACATTGACAGCAATTACAATAAAAAGTTATTGGCATGCAGTTTAGAATAACATTCATTTTCAACTCAAGAAATAATTAGTTATTCTATGCATTAAACAAAATATGATGTTGCAATTTATTTGGATCCCTGCTTGCGCTTTGGAAATTCACAAACTGTTCTCAGCTACATTATACAATGTTTTCCAACCTGATCTTCACAAAAATACAGTAAATTACAAAAATACAAAAAATACAGGGAATCTCTTGTGCAAAAATAAAGAAAATTATTGAATGTCCACCTTTTCCTAACACCACAAGATATGTCACTAACCATAAAATATTAGAAACAAGAAGAAGCCATTCAATAACTTGGTACGCAATAACAAGAAACCTTTTTTAGGGACATAAAAGATGAGGGGTGTAAGGTGATATGACACACCCACCACCACAAATTTTACATAACCTTGGTAATTCAGTTCAAATTTGATTTCATTAAGCAACAGTCTCAAGGCATATATTAAATATCTATTTAATTAAACCAATCTGCTGTTGTGAACATAAAGAAGTAAAAAGATTGTGACAAAAATTTCCCAGAAATGTTGCCTAGGACACTGAGATAATGGTTGATGAATCTTCAGTCAACATCTACTTCTACATCGATACTGAGCATCAGTCTAATGCTCAGAGTGCAAGAAATAATAGATTAATGGATAAAAAGTGCTAGAAGATTCCACTGATCAATGATTAGATTGAACATTATCGTAAGGAAAAACTGTAATTTTGTTTGTCATCAAGACCAAATCAAAAATCTTTCATTTGTTGGCAAATTGCCAAGCAGTAGGTGAAATCGCACCTACTTCCTTCTTCACCTGGAACTTAAACAGTAAATTTTATAACTGATGACTCTTCACAGACCTCCCCTTCTTTGTCTTCACAGATCATCAGAATTTTTCTTTGATTTATGGTTTGTCAACAGGGTTTCAATATGAATAAAACTCAAATAGTTTCTACCAAAACTTAGATAAAGTTTTAAAAAGGTTTTACATGATATTCTGAAAATAGATAAGTTGGCTGATTGGAGATCGAGTTTACAGGAGAAAGTTGAGAGGAAAAAATAACAAAGACAGGAGGAAACTTAATGTGTAAAGAAGGAAACTTGATGTGTAAAGAAAAATAAAAAAGGAGGAAACTTAATGTGTAAAGAAGAAAAATTATAAGTTTACGCTATGAACAAACAATGTCACCTAAATTCTTTTCACGCTAAGTGCGAATCACAATCTTGTTATTTCCTACTAGTTGATCTTACACAAAAACTTGTTTTGCATCCTAGCATGAGTTAATAGTTTTGTAGTTATTCGAGTTGAGATGGTTAAACCTAAATTTTCAATGTTCCAGATAAATCTAATAGTTTGAAATTGCTTGTAGCATCACATTATAAGACTCACTATAATTATGTCAAATTGATCTGGAAGACAATGTTGAATGCCCTAAAAAGTTTTGAATGAGATATAACACATCTCTTTTTCTTCTTAACAACCACTTTATTTCTTAATGATAATTTCTTGAGTATTATGAAATGAAACATTTTACAAAACTCCTTCTTCTCTCAGTTATGACCTCTGGGCAAAACAATTATTATCATAATTTCATTTCATAAGATTTAATTTCAAATAAGGATGGCTGGTCATATTTAAACAGGATTGGATAAGACAGCAAAACCATTTCTTCGTCGACATAATATAGTGTTTTAATTTACAGAATGCACCAAGCAATTTACCGACATAATATAGTCATGTAATTCACAGAATACACCAGCAACTCATCGACATAACATGGTATTTTGATTTACAGAATCCGTGAAACATACAAATATGTTTCTTTTCTCTTTACAGGATAATTTATTTCGTCTGTTGAACTGTTTAAGTCAATTCAATGCCTAAAAAATTAGGCGCCTGAAAAGAAATCAAATGAGATAATTTGGATGTCAAAATAGCCGATCTGGAATTTAAGACAGCTGCAAAAGTCAGATAAATGATAAGCAAAAAGATAATACCTTTTGAAACACAATCTATGTGTCTTGCAGCTGCTTCTCAAAGCAAAATTTATCGCGGTTGTCGATTCGTTATATTTGCAAGCATCCGCCATTGCTCTTTTGACTGTTTACCAGAAACGAGGCTGCGTTGCCATAACAAACAGAACTGCTCCGCAACGCCCAAAGAAAGATCCATTCTTCCTGGTCAAACATTCTTTCTCAGGTCCCAATTTTTGGTTCCATGCGGAACTTGTACCAGGACCGCGTAGAATGTTAGAGATTGAGGGGGCTAAAATATTTTGGGGGGCTAAATATGCTAAAAAACCAAGAGCAGGGCGATTTTTGTATGGTTAAAGGATATTTGAAACTTTTTGGCCCTCCCCCGCTTCCGGGGTCCCTGAATTTGTACCTACCCTATTGGTACATCTAGACATCAAGGCTTGCTTTTACGCAAATTGGAACACCAGATAAACAATGCTATTGTTTGTTGCCTTTTTTCCTAATTACAAAATTTCTTCCTTTTAACTGAGGCTACTGATAAAATGGCTAATTTCATGTCACTGGCTTTTGAGTCACGGGAATCTTTTGGGAAGTCCTCTGTGTGTACCCTTACGTAAAATAAACTGTATAGCTTATGATAATTTTTACATTTGCTTATCTGTTTGCTGTATTCTTAGATTTATTGCTAATTTTGTAATTATGGAGAATATGTTAACTTGTAAGTATAGCAATTGTGTTGGCGATGGGCCGTTTCAGTTCACAAGCCATATTGTAAAAAATGATAATAAAATGCTGAAAATAGCTGTAAAATGAATTAAATAAGCCGATAAAAAAGCTAGATTTAGTCTTTTAGGCTTCCATATAGCCTGTCTATTGTTTTAGAGCATTCCAGGAAAGGACTAAACAAACTAGCAATGGGATTACAACAATGCATCTTCAAAAACATTTCAACTTCTAAATCTTCAGTAACTGTGGTCTAATATCTCTTTCAAAATACCTAATACCTCTTAATATCTCTTTAAGTATCTGTGGTTTAATAAACTTACTTGGACTATGTGTTGACAATTGTGTACTGTCATATTTTGACAGTCAAACAATATCTTGGTGGTATAAAACTTAAAAATGGCTTTGAAAAATATATTATGGGTATATATGTTTTCTAGAGTAGAGTTTTCGATCTATGTTCAGACCTTTTGAATTCTGAAGAGTGTCAGACAAAAAGTTTCAGTATGACTCAAAATGTTTGCTTTTTCAAAGCCATTTTTAATTTAATAACTATCATTGTTATTGTATGTTTCTTGTTATGCTTCGGATACGTAGTCTTACGCTATTAATTCTGTACTTTAAAAGCACGTTGAATTATGCCTACAATGCTTGCTAAAAGTCAATTTTCAAGATCAAATTCAGCCATCCCCTCCCCCCCCCCCCTCACGGAACAATGTTTGTTTACTTTAAATTGAGTAAAGGAATAAGGAAGTACCTTCTTTAGCGTTTCTCTAATGATAGGCTATAAACTCTGTTCACACACGCTGATCAACATGAATCAGTAAATCGCTGTTCAATTGATAGTCTTGTAATCAATCAGAAATACGCTGATCAACATGAATCAGTAAATCGCTGTTCAATTGATAGTGTTGTAATCAATCAGAAAAATACGCTGATCAACATGAATCAGTAAATCGCTGCTCAATTGATAGTGTTGTAATCAATCAGAAATACGCTGATCAACATTAATCAGTAAATCACTGTTCAATTGATAGTCTTATAATAAGTAAAAAGTACGCTGATCAGTCAGCATTGATAGCCTAAGCAGTCAACACTTTTCAAACTAAACTGGGGAAGGGGCGAAAGAAGTAATTTTTTTCGGAGAAGGAATGAGAGATATGAAATACAGCGCAAATTGCTAGGTGTTCAAAGTACTTTTGGCAGGCATTGTAGGTGAAGGGCCGGCTCGGCCTCGACACCATTTGAAAAAATTACAGTTCCATTAACAAATGTCCCCTCTATCTATCCTTGTATATATAGAACAGTGTTAAAACATACAGGGGTGCAGTGGGAGTTCGATTTTGAAGGGTTTAAAGCTCAAATTTTCTTTGGATCTCATCAAAGAAATTCTCGGTGAAATTGTCCTTTAGGAGGCTGTAGCCGGTTCCAACTCGGCCACTGCGCACCTGTGAAAAAAGCCATGTACAGCTAGCCTGAGTTCCAAACCCCAAACTAAGAATACTGGGACTTTTTGGGGTCTGGGGAACAGGCTATGTACAACCTGATTCTACGTAAACTGTACTTGGAATGTCCCAAGCCTCAATGTGAAGAGGAGGTCCTGAAGAACTGTAGTTTTAATGTTCAAAGTCCACTGACGCGCGATGCTATATTTTTTCCAATAAAACGATATGTAAAGTAATAAAGAGCCGAATTTTCATTTTAATTGTCCTTTTCTAATAATATACACTTTCTATTAACACTTTTTACTACCTGCTTGATGAAAATACGAATTAAGTCCTTTGTTCCCATGGCTACATATGAAGGTAGGTTATAAACGGCTGCTGTCAGAACTCTGATGGTGGTTTCCAGGCCAGGGGGTTGCTTGGCAGACGAATAGCTGCTTTTCCTGTAGTGAATGAATGCAGCCAGTTAGCGAGCATGCACCAATGAGGTTTTCGTATTCTATTCACCTCGTTGGCATGCACAGGAAAGTTGAATCGAGACTGGTAGTTAAAGGCATTGAGTCATGGTAAATAGGCTTTCACTATAGGGAGTCATTTGGTTTCGGCGTGATCGCTGTTGTTTCATATGATATTTGCATCCGTTGTTAGCAACTTGCTATTGATGAAAATTGTTTTGTCAATCAGTACGAGGTGAGTTCATGTGACCAGTTTCAGGTCAACCAATAGCATTGCAGTCATGAAAATCATGACTCAGCGGATTTTGGCATTTAGGGTATACCCAATCCATTTTATCATGACTCAATGCCTTTAAGTGGGGCTATCAAAGTGTAAAATGGTTTCTAAATACGGCAGGTTCCGAGCTAAATGTTCGGCAACACTTCAGAATGACACAACAAATAAACGCAGATATAGTTTTCTCTAACGTATATTATTGTACGACTTGCACCACTAAGCCTTTTACAAAGGCGAAGTGTAGTTAGCCGATTTTAAAGACACCCACAGAAGATCGAAACTAAATGACAGTTACGGAAGAATTGTTGGTAGCTGGGAATCTTTTTTCAAATGCCCTTTTACTAAAGCCGGCCCCCTTGCCCCTTGGTCGTTCCGGTGTCCCTGGTGGAGGCTGATTAAGGGAATTTTTAGCAGAAAAATTTCCATAAGGGGAAAATCACTTGGAAATCTCGTACACCTTTTGGGAAAATCCCTTGATTTTGTTTCTCTGAAAATCCCTAGAAATATCTTTCTTCTGACTTTTTGCAAGAGCGAATTTCCCCTCGGTTTCGCACATACTTGCTTCTTTATTTTCTACCAGGAATGCAGTGTTTTCTGTGTTTTTTAGTTTTGAAACTGTCCTTGTGAAGGAGTATTACGTGGTGGTCTTTCCCCTTCTCTGATTGGTTAGTTTCTTTCTAATCTTTTCTCTTTGATTTCGATCAGTACTTCTGAGACTGTGATGGTGATGTATCTTTAAACGGATGAAGGGCCTTTGGTTGATAAAGAGGCGGCAGTAGCAATCACCCGGTGAAGATTACCAATTATGTTGGTTATTGGATTGGAAATATGGCATGTATTTAATCCTTAGACGGGGGGATGTGGCTATGTTATTAACTCGATTATGTTTGAAAGTCTCATAATATGGCGACGTATGTCATTCGACAGGCAAATGCAATCTAGCTTGAAAGTCAGGAGAATGTTAAAGCGTAAAACTGTTGATTAAATCCAGGGGGGATGTCTTGTAATCCAGGGGGAAGGTCTTATAACTTTTTCATATGTGCAAGAGAGAGAGGCTTCTACATTCTTTATTCTTTGTAAGAACGCACTTTATAAGAGCACCGAGGCCAGTGGCGGGGCGTGCTATGGCTGGGGGAGCAGGGACCGCGCACTTCTCTAAAAGTGGAGGGGCTGAAATGGGTGTGTCCGAAATTTTTCGAGGCCACGCCCTCGTGAACGCCGGAAAACGCCGCTTTAGATGCTTGCTTATTTCTATTGAATTTTTATAATGAGTCTGGTTCAGAGAAGATATCAATAACTATGAAAATAGATATAATTAGCTCGAGGGTAATAAAAAACCAAGCTAACCAAGTTAAAAAATACATCATATTAAGAAACAAGGTGAAACACCTAGAAAAAGAACAAATTGGTTCCCAGTCAATGAGAACTGCTACTACATAGGAGTAAACTATCCAAAGTTGAGTTAGAGTAAACCTTCAAAAAATTTCTAGCCTATTATTGCAAAAAGTGGGTTGGCTATAGCCCCTGCTAGCCCAATGGCTGCGCGGTGCCTGGGGAGGTGGGAGGTGACCCCAAAAACTCCCACAAAAATCAAAGAGAGCTACTGTGTGAAATTCAGGGGTCAGTCTAGATTTTGAAGATCTTCTGACTGTATTTTCATATTAACACGAGGCCAACCTTTACATGATTTTGAATACAAAAATCATAGATTTTTATACAAGGAAGGTGCCTTCTCCTCGGTTGGTTTATCTTCTGGAATAAATTCTTCTTTAAATATTTCCCTCTATACAATTAGTTCCTTGCTCTGTTTTTGTATATTTTATCAATTAATTCATATATTAATAATATAAATTACATGCTAATATATCAATTTGTCTAATTATGTGTTAAGGAAATGTTTACCTTGCCTAATTAGTTGCAAGTGGCTTCGAAAAAGCAAACATTTTATAACATATTGGCTAAAAGCTTTTTCGTCTGACAATCTTCAGAGCACTAAACGTCATAATAAGGGTCTGAAAGAACACGATGGAAAATATTTTCAAGCCATTTTCAAGTTCTGTACCGCCAAGAAATTGTTCATAATTAGTAACAATAAATTGAATGCAGTGGAATTTTCAATAAAAAACTGAACTGAACTGAGTTACAAAACGGAGGTTAAACGATATAACTACGGACAATTAAAGCCGGTTTCGAACTAAACTTTTAGTAAAAAACCAGGATGGAAACAAAAGGACTAAGCGATATTATTCTCGCATACAGTATAACACGTATCTTGTCTAATCGACAGTACAGCTAAGCCATTAAAAAGTGGTACGTGTGCTTCCTAAATCTAAGCTCTCTTTAACTAAACATGTAATAGTGGCAAGCGATACAGGGCCGTGGCAATCTGCCTCCATGCCCCCTCTCAGTGGACCTCATAACAGTGATCGTATTAATTGGATGTTGGCACAAGAGGAAAACAAGCTACAATGTGCCAGGGGTGGAGAATTTTGAGGACCTCCCCTTCTACTTCA